ACGTCGACGGAGGCGCGCGCTGCGCTTGTGCAGGGGCGTCGACTGGCGACCAAGGCGGCGCGAGACGAGGCATCGGCTTGGCGCATTGCCCACGGGCGGAAGAGCGAGCTCGTTGAGGCCACTGTCGGCGAAGGAGGGGGGGCGTTGGAGGAGTGGCGATGTTTGTCAAAATTATTGGCCCCCATCCCCCCGAGGCGGGCGCGGCGCCAGTTCCTGGCCGAGCTGTTTCTGGAGTGGCGCGCGTTCCCGGAATGGGGGCCTTGCTCTACCTACCTTTATTTGCTCTGCGGACAGCGAGGGGCCGTCGGCGAAGAATCGCTCTGCGCTGGCGGTCGTGGGCAGCGCGGTCGCAGCTTTCTCCGGCGCCCTGGTGATCGGGGGGGATTTCAAGATGCATCCTCGCGCGCTTCGGGAGAGCTCTTTCTTCGGACGCGCGCCGCCCGATCGCGGGCGCGGGCGGGAACGCGCGCCGCTCGGGGGGCCCAGGTTCGGCCGGCAGTAAGTACGACTAGTTCGTCGTCTTGCCTGGCACATCGGAATGCACCATGTCGGTCTCGGTTCAGACTGACTCGGATATCGACCCGCACTTCCCCGTCAGCACAAGCTCCACGAGTCCCCTGCTGACCCCATGGCACCCAGCTTCGCGAAGCCCCCCAAACTGTCGGTGGATGTCCCTGCGGCCCCCCCCCCCCCAGTGCTCTTCCGAGTCCTGATGCGGCAATCGTTTGTGCTCATCACGGACTTCGGCTTGTTGCCGCCAAGGCGCGTAGACCAGACACCCGGAGGCGCGTCGGTACCTCGCGCTTTCCGTTCGCGAACCCAGCGGAGAAAGAGCTCGCATTGACGCGGCGCGTGGAGCTCCCCCGTCACGGCGCGCGCGGCATGCGCCCCAGGCTCGTCTGGGTCCCCACGGCTGACCCGGGTCGCAAGGGGTCGAAGGACTATTGCCCCGACTTGTTCGCGACCCGCCGGCTGTCTCGGGAGTTCAGGGCCAGCCGATCCGATTTGTTCGGCAAAGGCGATGTCGGCATCCAGCGGGGCGCAATATTGAACCCCCTTGGGGGAGCTTCTGGCCACCTCGAGGCCTTCGAGCAGCTTCACCTCCAGGTTGCAGTTCTCTTGCAGGGCGCTTCTTCGGGGCAGGCCCTGGGCCCAGAGGAAGGCGAACGCACGTTGGAGAAGTTAGAGGCCGAGTTGCAGAGGGTGGCCGGCACGACACGGCATATGTCTTCCAAGGAGCGGAGGACCCGGTTGCTGGATGGCATCACGAAGGGAGGGAGTAGCGCGCACAAGTGGACGAGGGGGGTTCAAACTTTGGAAGGCCTCCACCACTCTCTGGGCATCGGCAGATTGTAGCAGATCCCCCGTCTCTTCTTCTCCAGACGGAAGTCGCTAGATTGGCTGGGTTGCGGCGCGCTGCAAGCGAACCTGGTCGACATCATTCCCATTTTATGTTTTTAGAACCGCCGCCGAGGCTCAGCCCAGAGGGCATTCGGAAATTCCACAAATCCTACTCTCAGCACAACGTGGTCAGTATAGACGGACTCTCCATGAGGCATTTTGCGAGTTTGTGTGATGGTTGCCTCGAGCGCCTCGGCATCGAGTGCTTCATCGTGGAAAGCAGGGGCGCGCTGCCGCGTCGCCCGAGTGCATTGCAGATCGCCCCCTCGGTCAATCCAGCTGACTGCTGCAGGCCTTTCGGCCTTTTTTTGTTCCAGCGGCGCTCGCCGCGTGCGGGGAAGGGCAAGGGGAGGCATAGCATCGGAGTGGGAGTTAGACATTCGGCGCCTTTTATCTGGAAGCCTCGAGTGTCAGCGGGGCAAGCGATGCAGCGTGGAGGCAGCAGCGAAGTAAGAGCTCACCCAGGGAAGTTGCAGCGACTGTTCCGTGGGACTCCAGGAAGTTCTACGAAGGCGTGCGCCTCGACCTGTTGGAATCACGAGCAGACAGTTTGAGGTTTCCCATGCAGATCGCGGCGCTGCGCATTGGAGCTTATCTGATACTTAGGTTCATCGCTATGTCGCCCATGTTTGCTGGTCCGTTGCATTCGGTTAGCGGGGTCGTCGCAGGGTGTTCGGCGTCTACCACCTTTGCCCGCGTATATATCATTCTTGTATTCGACATGCTCGCGATTCCTATATCCATTTGGCTATAACTTCGACGACGATGGCACGTCGTCCGTCGGCAACGAGGTCGCCGCGCGCCCGGATCTGAGCGAGTTCGGTACCACGGTCGTGCAAGCTATCCAGGACATGGCGCGTTCCGTGGCGGGGGACAAGGCTGCCGTCGTGGCCTCCAACGGTCGTCTGGGGAAGTCCCCCAACCAGTTCCTGGGCGTCTTCGCAGGCGACGGCAACGCGACATCTGGGGTTAATCTGGGCGTCGACGACACGGCTGGCAGGCGTCGTAGGAGGGGGAAGGGTTGCCTTACGACTCTCGATGGTCTGCGCGTGCTTCTGGGCAGGCCCCACAGGTTCAGGAAGGCCCAGAAGGCCCCGGGGAAGCACTCTCTGAAGACCTTCATCGCGGGGCCCCTGCGCGGAATTACTTGCGGCGCCGAGGCCCACGGCACCTCGGCCGCGGAGCCCAAGGCCTTGAGGAGATGTTTCAGCAAATGCGCGGAACCTTCTGCGGGCTGCAGGAGCCTCGCAATTTTGATGGTTCAGGAGCACGACCAGCGCCGCTACGTCTCGGTCGCTCCTGTGCTGCGCCTGGCCAAGGAGATATGTCTGAACCAGACCAGGCTCTATCAGCATGCCTTTCCTTTTTTGCGCCGAGCATGGGAGGCAGCTTTCGCTGGCCCGACGCCGTCGCGGAGACATGCGTCGGGGTTTGCGTCGGCAGCAAGAGCTTCCTGGCGCAGGTTAGACTGGGGTTTGCCGAGTTTTATTTTGCTGGGCGCGGATCAGGGAATCCAATTCTGCTCGACCACCACCAGCCCCAGGTTGGTCGATGAGCTCATGGCAGAATGAACTCTGAGGCATCTTCAGAGGCTGTCTGCGGCGCAGCCTGGGCCCCCTGAAGTGTCTCGGTTAGGTTGCGATGTTTTCACGCAGGCTCTGAATTCCAGGAAGTGGTCGGCATTCCAGAAGGGGTGTATTCGTTCTTCTGTTTGCAATGCAATTTGAACAGGTCCCAGAGCGCAGGAGGCCGGGCATCTGCTCGACGAGATGTCTTGCGAGCTG